TTTTTTTTTTTTTTTTTTTTTTAGCTCAAAAGTTAACCTTTTAAAAAGTAGGTTTACAGCTATTTTGATTTTTCTAGAAAAAAATAATAAATGTTCATTTTTCATTTTTAATATTTATTTTACTTTTTAATAGTAAAAAAAATAAATATTCGGTCGAAAATTAGTATAAAAAATGTTTCAAATTTATATTATTAAAATAAATTAATTCAGGGTCGAGAAAAATATATTTCAAAACAACTTTAAATAATTATTAAGAGACAGCAACGTTGTGACAGCTCATTGAATAATTTTGAATTTTTGGAGATTTTATTCTCCTAATCTTTAATGATGTTACGTTGTTGTTGACTCTATTGTCCGTCGCAGTTATATTATATAGTTTTAAATGTGAATTATTAAATTATATATTTTAAAAAATTAATGTAATATCTAATTAATAAATTAACAAAAACATATGGGATGACGTATTTGTTGAATAATTTATTAAATAAATAAATGAACAGAAAAGTAATAATAATAAATAAGTTTTGGGTGAAATTTGGAGACAAAATTATTATGCAAAAAGAAAAAAATTTAAGAAAATTTGTATGGTTCTTTGGATCCTCTACCTATTTTATTAGCCCTTGGATAATGACTAAATTGCCCTTTTTGTCTTTTTGTGTAATTTTAATATTTGTTGAAATTTTATTTATTTACAGAAAAATAGTTGTCTGGTAGTTGGACTGGATCGTTTTTAGTCGAGCACAATGGTCCAGTGGTTAGGCTGCAAAAATGGGTGCAACGAATATTTCATGGTTCAAGGATTAAGATTCTCTTTTAAATTTTTTTTTACTTAAATTATAAGTTTGGTTCAAGAAGATATTTCTTTTTAGTTTCGTTAGCTTTTGCATTTGTGTTGATTGATTTGTCTCGGGTATGTCGCTTTTTGATTTTGTTCATGTAGCACGTATAGTGGAGGTCTTGTGAGATTCTGCATCGATTGGAGAGGGAAAGAAGTGTCTGTGAGAATGTTGAGTCCCGAAGGGAGTGGATTGTGAGATCTCAAATCAGTTGAAGAGAAGAACAAAATATTCGTTACAAATGTGTGAAAACTTCTCTAAAAATGTGTGGGGAAGCTCGAAACGGAAAACCCAAAAAGGATAATATTTTCTAGTGGTGGACTTGAGCTGTTACAAATAGTATCAGAGCCAAATACTGGGCGGTGTGCCAGTGAGGACACTGAGCCCCGAAAGGGGTGGATTATGGAATCCCACATCAATTGAAGAGGGAAACGAGTGCTATCGAGAACGCTGGGCTCCAAAAGGGAGGGGGTGGATTGTGAGATCCTACGATTGGAGAGGGGAACGAAACATTCTTTATAAATGACAAAACCTAACCTCTCCCTAGTAGATGCATTTTAAAATCTTGAGGGGAAGCTCGGGAAGGAGTGGAAGTCTGAAAGGGAAAGCCCAAAGAGAACAAATATGTGCTAGCCAGCGGGCATGGGGCTGTTACAAGTTCTCAAAGGGTTGATTTCAAGTTCCATCTTCACTTTTTGTTTCACTATTGCAACGCTACATCGCTACTGTATACTATATTGTTGTCTGTGTGAGAGTGTCTTGGAGGACTACTCATTGCAACACGACATTATTACTTGAACCTGATACTCATATATGTCAACCACATACGGTTAAAGATTACATTAGTAATATTGGATTTTTCATACAACATAATAATATTAAATTGTAAATAAAATAATCAAAATTATTATTAAAAATGAAATAATTAATGACGAGTTTTACGACATAATCACAACAAGTAGTTGTTTGGAACTTCATTTAAAACTTTGACTTGCAAGATGAATTTAATTTAGCTAATTATTAAGCGTATCCGTGAAATGTGATTGAATTGATTGAGTTCGCCTTACTGAAGCATGTTAGTGATTAAGAGCACGAGAAAATGCTTGAGTTTCATTCGTTGCCATGTGAATTTACGAAATTGGAAGTATGATAGGTTGTTTGGATATGTAATTTACAGCTATGACACATGTTTATAAGCTGTGTTATTAGGTTATTACGTGGGAGTCGTTGGAATTATTCAACTAATCTATAATAAGAAAATTATCTTCAGTGAGAAGGGTCCACATAACATCACGGTAGCTAGTTGAGGCAGATGGGTCACTCCCATTATGATTATAGATTGTCGGGGCTATTAAAGGTCGTTTGTTAACCTTTAATAGTGAGTTTTCACAGTAAACATGGTCTACGTTTATATTAAACAGATTGGATGATAGAGGTCCACTGAATACATGTGAAACGTAGTGTAATCAGGTTATTATGTGGAGACGGTTCAAAGGATCTTCAACTATCCTCTAGCAATGAACATGTATCGAAGGTTAATGGTTTGTGCAAATATTGAGCATAGGAGTCCCTCTAACGTGATTATGACTTTATGGGGATTGTTAGAGAGTTGGTAACTAATCTTTTGTATTGATATGTCTCGTGTGATAGAGTCTATATGTGATATCCCACATTGGTTGGGGAGGAGAACGAAACACTCTTTACAAGGGTGTAAAAACTTTTCCCTACCAGACGCATTTTAAAGCCTTGAGGGGAAGCTCGAAAGGGAAAGCCCAAAGAGAACAATATCTGCTAGCGGTAGGCCTAGGCCATTACAAATGGTATCAGAGCTAGACATCGGGCGAGTGCCAGCGAGGAGGCTGATCCCTGAAGGGGGGTAGAACGAGGCGGTGTGCCAGTAAGGACATTAGACCCTAAAGGAGGTGGATTTGGTGGGGGTCCCACATTGATGGGAGAAAGGAACAAGTGTCAGCGAGGACGTTGGGCCCTAAAGGGGTGGATTGTGATATCCCCATATTAGTGAAGGAGGAAAACGAAACACCATTTATAAGGGTGTAGTAGACCGCTTCAAGGGAAGCCAAAAGGGAAAGCCTAAAGAAGACAATATCTGCTAGCGGTGAGCTTGAGCCGTTACACTATATATGTAAAAATAATACAACGGATAGCTAGATTATCTAAATCGTGGTGAACCCGATCATTATCTCTAGCTTAGAAAGGCTAGGTCTCGTGACTCTAAATGATAATAATAATAATCAATAACAAATTAAATATATTATTATTGTATATTTTATACCATATTTTTGTGATGCAAAACTCTCATTTAATTCCCTCATTTACTATTATTTATTTGAATTATTTTATAATTAATATCATTATGTTTCAATTATTTAATAATTAGTGTCATTTTATTTCAATTATTATATAATTAATTTAGTGGTATTCGAAAAAATCTAATACCCAAAAATCCGATCATCTCAACTCAAAACCCATACAATTTGAATTAGATTACGAACTAATTTTAGTTGAGTCACGTTCAAATAGATTAGTTTACACGGTTCTCTGCAACTAAATATTTAAAAAAGTTTTAACTAAATATTTAAAAATAAATAAATATATATTTTAAAAACTAACATTTTACTTCATTAAAAAAGTTGAACACATGATCGGAATAACTTGAACCAATCCAGGGTCGGGTTTATTATTTAATAAGGTTGTTTGGATTGAAAAAAAAAAAAACCGAACCATTGAATTTGATCTAAAAATATTTCAACCCTACTCAACCCCGAACACGGTTTGTAATTTTTTCCCATCTAATTAAACAATTTCAAATTCCCGTACAAATGTCATAAATAGGATATTTAAACCAAAGACTTACCACTCACGTATAAATAAAATTATTTAATAATTATACGTGACTGGATCTTAATATTGAGTGAGTTATTAACTTCTACATATGAAGGTTTGTTCTTTGATTTGCATGAGTGAGAATAGTTTTTGTAGCCGATTCAATATGCCTACCATTTTAAGACTTGACCAAATAGGGAGCTGAGAACATAATTTCACGAGACGAAATTCACTCATTCCCACAAGAGACTAGTTTCTTTAAGTGCCATCACCCTCTCACTGACCCGAGAAAGACTTGGTTTATGATT